CGTCCCTAATTTAGCACTGTAAGACTAGAGGGAAGGCAGCTAGTCATCACCACCCACCGCCAAATCTTTTACCAACGAATAGTGGGATTGACCGTCACATTATAACGCCCCCACGACTGAAAGGGCTAGCATGTTTAGTGGGACGGGGATTCGAACCCGGGCGCTTGACTCGCAATCTTTATCCACCTGGCCAACAGTCAGCTTACTAAAGGTTTTTTGATACACCGTGTTTTTGGTTTAGATTAGGGCTGTTTTGTTCAATTAAAGTAGCTTCTATTATTTTGCGTTTGTTGATGTTTGGTTCTTTATCCTAAATTACTGTGTTTTGTATAGATATGATGCGAGTTTTTTTAGTTGCAATGGTGGTAAACAAGAGAGGGCTTTCTATTACGTTCCATGAATCTAGTTTCCAATTACCGTCTGGTTTCTCCGATGTAGAATTCTGGACACTGGTATTGTGTGATTCTACGTAATTTATATTTAGTAATGGCTGTAGTTTAAAGCCAGATTTTGTGTTTAATGGAATTTTTCCCCAAAGGTGAATTACTTTTGAACTCATTTCAAGGATGATTGGTAATATGCGGTTTGTGTCGTTGTTTGATGTTTATGCCCTCGATGGAAGTGAAACCAACAAAAGTGTCATCCACATATTTGTACCAGTACAGGGGAGGATAAAACGCGGATTGTATATGGCTTGTGTTTCGATCTTAGTACTACATATGTAAAAGGGTTTCCCATGATTAAACCAACTATTTGAAGAAAGGTTTTGTTATTGACAGAGATGTTGGTTTTCGTTGTTGTGAATTTTAAGAGGGAAGTGAATTAAAGGATTGGGGTCATTCATATAGAGATGAAATACAATATTACAATCTTCCTTGACGGGAACTTCAGTGAAAAGTAACATATCAAAGCCAGAGTTTAGGGTTTAACGTGTTTTTTGAAGTTAAAGACATCTTTTAACGGGAATCTGCAGATGCTACGTAAGGTGTGAGGGCCCAGGCTATATATGCCAAGATTTTAGTGAAACGAGTCATAAGTGGACAGTATAGGTCCTGTGGGGCAGTCCTGTTTGTGTGGTTTGGGAATGCCATAGAATTGTAGTGTGCATGAGTCAGTTTTCCTTAGATAAAATAAAGATCTTCAATAATTAAATGATTTTTCTTCAATTGTGACAGGGATCTGTACAGTTGTTTTTCATGTATATTTGTTGGGTCTTTTGGATGGGTTTAAATTTATTTTTTATCTGAAAGGATATCATTCATTTTGTCAATGTATTCTGTGTTTTTCATGATTAATGTTACCTTTCTCAGCTTTTATAATTTAAATATTCTTCAAGTTATAGATGTATTTTATGTTATTGTTTGTTAGACTGGTCTTCAATTTACCGGTTTAAGTTCATTATGTAAATGATACTGTTAGATAAGTTTGTTTGTTTGTGTAAGACTAGCCATCACCACCTACCGCCAACTCTTGGGCTACTCTTTCACCAACGAATAGTGGGATTGACCATCACATTATAAAAAGGTTCTTGATTTCTTCTTGCAGTTGGATGCTGTTTAAGGTGGAGGTGGCATTTTGTTCTGTTGTATAGTAAATCATTGGTCAGCTGGATAAATCTTCTAGGTATGTCTTTAACTAGCCTAGGAACTAAACAGAACTACCAGTATGAAATTAATTGTTTGACAGAGTTCTAAATCTGCAAAAATAAAGTCCATCTTGACTTTACTGTCATTTACTGGACTTGGTGTAAAATACAACACTTTTACTTCGTCCATTTACTGGACTTGGTGAAATATACATTACTCTTTTACTTCGTTCATTTACTGGACTTGGTGAAATATACCACTCTTTTACTTCGTTCATTTACTGGACTTGGTGAAATATACATTATTTTACTTCGTTCATTTACTGGACTTGGTGAAATATACCACTCTTTTACTTCGTTTATTTACTGGACTTGGTGAAATATACCACTCTTTTACTTCGTTCATTTACTGGACTTAGTGAAATATACCACTCTTTTACTTCGTTCACTTAAATGAGAGACTGAGTAAAAAATTACTTAAAATACAAATTTACTTTCTGTGCATGAAAGTACATATATTCGTGTTTAACCGATGTTGGTTGGTCAAGTGAAGCTAAAGTGTTTCAAGGGAAGTAATATTACTTTTTCTGCTTATTGGTAAGACACTTAACTACTTAACAAAACATGCTAAAACCAGGTAAATCCCAATGAAAACAATACAGTCACTTTCGGAAAGAAGGCCTCATGGGGTGGGGTGGGTGTATTCCGAGAAATACGCACTTCAAATGTTCATTTTTAAGTTCGTACCAGATAAAAGAAGTTAATCTACTTTTAAAAGTGCCTAGTTCTCACTGTTTCACTAGGCAACACAAAGTTTATAATTTAGGTCAAAGATTCTTAATCTGTGGTCCGCATTAAGGTTATGTAAGTTCCATCAAAAATCTCATTGCAAGCCGAAATCTGAGACATGAAAGACTTGGTTAAAATTGCAATTAGATATTATTAACTTTTAAAACATTAGGTAACTAAAATTTTTAAAAACACACTAAATATATAATTCGTAGTTTGTGAACTGATTTAAAAAGTAAAGCAGAAGAAAAACTCACAGTCTAGGCTAACAAAAATTTGATGCCTCCTAACTTACAAATATAAATAGCGTTTTGACTGACGCTTTTAGGTGTTGTCAACCCAGCTGATTTGATGAGCTTTGATACTGAACTAAAAGTTTCATTAACTGTGGCTACAGCACAATAAAGTGTGTAGTTGAAATGCCAAAATATTCTTCTTATTGGATAGCATACAGAGCCAGTAAAGAAAAATATGAGAATGTTATGGCAATAGTAACAAACAGAAATAAATTACAACATTAAACACAGGCAATACAATGAAACAATCCAATAAAGATTGGTTCTTAAACAATTATTTATGTTTGAAATACTACAGTTTTTTTTACTGAAAAACACAAGATGGTATCTTGAAAGAATGAAAGAAAAATATTTGGTATTATCTATGCAGAATTTGATCAGTTTTTATAATATCCTATGGAATCAGATAAAGTTAAAATAAAACTTTACACAAGCAAAGTAAATCAAAAGTGCTTTATTCTAACATTATTGAACATTACTCAACACAAATCATTCTTTTAATGTTGTATGACAAATTACACTATCTTTTTTTTCCTTCATAAAATATAATTATCACACCAGATGACACTATGAGTCTCACTGTCTCCACTGTGTAAACGCTGATGCACTTTGGCTGTAAGAAGATAAGATCATTCATCATTCACTTAAAAAAAATTAAAATTCATACACCAGACAAATGCATATTTTACAGTTACACTTATATCTTACACAGTCTTCATAAACCATTTAAGCGTTATATAATATTACAGTTATCATATCAACTTTTTAACATCAGAATAATACATCTTACACACTTTTTTTTAAACATCTTTAATTTTTTATCCTTATCAAGAGCACACTAAACTGACTTGAGGGATTATAATAACTTTGTTTAAAGTTCCACAGGTAATTATTCAACTTTTAAATTATGGTTAAGTAATACTGAACTATAATGTCACCAATATTTAACACTGAAATAATTAAACTAATAACGTTTTTAACCTAACTAATTTCATCATTTTAGCATTATTGTGATATCACTTTCATCCCAAATTACATTATATATGTATATATATATATAATAAGGATGTTATTTCAACAAGAAACGACAGCAGCAACTAATTTTAAGTATGAATTACTAAACTATTGCAGTATATTTTTATATTTTAAATGGTCTTACAAGTTTATTCTTATGTTACGTTAGTTAAATGCATGACATAGGAGTGGTGTTTAAAGAGTACTCCATTATAAAGGGCAGTTTAATTAACATATTATGTCATGTCAAAAGGTATAGTCATGAGTATGTACTGTTAACAGATTTTAAGAATGGGAAAAACTAATGACTGACAAGAAAACTTACTCTTGAGATCCAAACCCAGATGGCTGGCCTATACAGTGATTGAAAAAAAAAGAAAGATTTAAGACGTCATTGTAAAACTACAAAAGATCAAGTACTGTTCAGTTATATACAAATTCATAATATTAAGTTGGGAACTGCTTATAAGTCAAGTTATAAATCAACCAATAAGAAATTTGAAGTCAGTAGTTTGTTGAAAATGTATATAAAACTTATAAACACTGGTTTTGTTGAACATACATAATGGCAATAAGCTTAATTTGCTTGTTTCTTTATACTTCTTTTAGTTATCTGTGACAGAATTAATCTGAGTTATTTCTACATATACATTATTATTCATTAAGACTTAATGTTGACAAGTAGGAATGATAGCGGAAAATAATTCTTTAATTTCAATTCTATTGTATTGTTTTTTATATATATATATATATAATTACCACTTAAAGTGCATAGTTTTATATTGCAGTTTGATTTTATTATCCACAACCATCTTATTCTGGAGAGATTTGTTGTTAAAAGTTTCTTTTCATTTAGGAAGAACAAAACTTGATAACTGTCTTATCTTACATTAAATGTATTTATTTGAATTCAGTATTAATGTGAACCTCAATATTCCTTGTTTAAGAATAATAACTATAAGAATACAAAGATCAAAAGACAAAATAAAACTTTGTTAAGCAGATCAGAATCAGAACATGCTAGCTTGTTAATACTTACTCCCAAATCCAGGGCTACCGCCAAAGCTTGGACTACCAAAGCCACCCGTGCTACCTGCCCCAGCTTGCTGATTAAGATTTCCAAAAGTCTGCTGTCCTTGCTGTGTAAGGGAGTTAAATGATGGAGCTTGTGCAGATGCAGCTAGAGTATCAAATGTTGGAGAATTCATGCTTGCAAATCTAATTTTAAAAAGTATGGGAACATCATTTGTATGGTAATAATATTGAAAATAAAATATTATTGAGACAAAACTTATTTTGAAAAGACATTGAAATAGATCTTGAATCACTGTGCTTTTAGAGAAGAATCAGACACCAAATTTGATACTTTAAGTCACAATATCTGCATTTTTATTCAATCACAGAACAGTATGACTAATAAATTCATAAACTTAAAATCTCGTTAGAAAATACATTCAAATAGATACAAATTAGAAGAGAGAGAGAATGCAATGATAATAATAATAATGTGGAATAATTAAGAAAAGCTAACTGTATATAACATGTGATAAACATACCCTCCAAAACCCCCACTAGTCTGGCCAGAACCAAATGATCCAGTAGTTTGACCAGAACCAAATGAGGGTGAACCACCAAATGGACTACCAAAAGTACCCTGACTTCCAAAATTGGGTGTTGCTCCAAATTGGGGAGAACCTCCAAATGTTGGGCTTCCTCCAAAAGCTGGAGAACCTCCAAAACCACCAGGGTTAACAGCTGTAAGATAAATACAGCTTTAGAGTAAGGATAAAAATAAATTATTTAGTTACAAAGCAAAAACTTCAATTGAATAAAATATTGTTTCAGTAAATTATCAGTTGGTCTTAGCGTATCTTATATTTGCAATAAGAAGTACCAAAACTAGTCTTATTATTTTTACCTTTTTTACTAAAAGAACAAGTTTATTTCAACTTAGCAAGATTCTGAACATTCTTCTTCTCTTGAGGAAACAAGAAAGTTCACTTGAAATAACATATTTTAAATTATTCCCTTTTATACACTGCATCCAACATTTATTAGTCTCCTTTTAAGTTGCAAACCAAGTTTATTTATGAAAAATAATTCTTTGGGATCTGTTACATGACACACCCTGTGTTCATTACAATTTTCAAACAGTTAATAGTTGGTAAAATCCGCCAAAGAAATCTTCCTGCTGGTTGTACAATATGAATCCGTTTTACCAACTGATTCATCTGCTAACCATGACTTTCAAAGAAATTCGATAATTTCTTCTTATATTTTAAATCAGTCTTTCTTTGTATCCTTCCTCAAAATCAGTTGCTTAAAATTACTGAGATTCTAAGTAGTCCCCTTCCATATGCCACATCCAGAATTCACTGCAACTTTGTTTTTAAAACTCCATATATAGTTTATTTAAGCTTACAAGAAATCTGAATTCTTTTTTTTTCACAGTTTAAATTTAAAGTTCTCTTCAATTTATGAAGAGACTGAAAATTCTCTTTTTATATTCCTTGTTAAGAGTTTACATCAACTTATTAATTATTCATGGATTCTCTTTCTATACTTCAGATTTAAAGTTTAAATCAAGTTACAAAGAGTCTGTGGATTATCTTTTTATGCTCCATGTTAAAAATTGTCCTCACCTTATTAAGAATCTGTGAATTCTCTTTCTATATTTTAGCCACTAAATACAGTTTACTTTTTACTTATCAAGATGTTATGCATCCTTTGTCTATATATAAAGTTTACTTTAAATTACCCATGAATTTATCTTCTATACTCCAGATATAAATTTTGTTTCACCACACCATTAATTTATAAAGTTTCATCTCAACTTTACAAGTATTTATGAACCTACGAGATTTTTGTGGAGGCTGTTGAAAACCTCCAAAACCTGTCTGTGCCACACTTCCACCACCACCAGAGAAACTTCCACCAGAAAATACTCCACCTGATTTACTCCCAAAGCCTTCAGGTTGCTGGTTTCCAAACAAGTCTACATTAATGTGGGAAAAAATAAACAATAACATATAATTACATAATCTATACTGTTACCAACTAGCCTCATAATATAAAAATGAAATAATACAGCCTAAATTAAATTAGAAAATCTTATATTGCTTTTTTTCAAATACCTAATATTGATAAGTACTGTTTCTGAAAGGTAATTTCTACTTAATGTGTTAAAACAGAATATTTTTGAATGCAAAAATATGTTATTTTATATGTCTACTTTTGTATTCTCAACTGTTCTAAAACATTCTTACAAAGCCTCACCAGACAAATCATATGTGAAAAAAGTACAAGTGAAAATGGAAACTGAAACCAAATTTTTATCAAATTCTATGATTTTCCACTTCAGAATAAACTAAATTAAGTAAATGTACTCATAATATTAAAATATCAAAAACCAGGCAAGATCTTCCACAACAACCCTCCATTATAAACAAACCACTACTTTTATTGTTGAAAGCAATACTGAATGTGTGATGGTGTGATAGGATTTAAGGATACCATATTGCTATATCAACAATACTGCTCACAGCTATTTATTACAGGGCAATGTGTACTTAACTTTGTTTAAAAGCAGCCTTTTGTAAACTACTTTCACACAGTCTCTTACGTAGAGTAAGAAAAGCTTTGAGTTGCTCCCATGGCTCATATATCCAAGCTTATTAAATGAAAGAAGACTTCAAACTGACTACCTAGTACATATTTGGCAAAGTTATGTAATCTTAAATATATTCATGTAAACAAACAGGATACATAGTTCAGAAAATCTGGTACAGGAGTCTATTTTCACTCAAGGTCCACACCACAATCACAGAATGACTACAGGATGGTACGAAATTCCTTCAGCTCATAAGAAATTGAAAGCTAGTAAAGATCAAATATATTAAAGATAGAAAAATTTGAAAAAAATGTTACCTTTGGAATTCAGGTGTCTTTTAAATGAATAATATGTGAATTATGATAGATATTACTATTAAACCACGTGATTAGGAAATTATTTAACAAACTGTGTTTCCTTGGAAAGAATATCTTATATACAAAAAAGTGACAAAATGTTCACAAATTTAAAAGTATCTTTTGTATCAAGATTAGGGAAAGTTAAAGATAATTTCAGAAAGTAGTTAATGAGGCAATTATAATAAATATTAAAAATGCATTCATTCCCAATGGGTTTAATGCTTTATTAGGTTGTAAAAACTGAAAGGGTTGTAATGCCTTATTGATATCTTTTGTTTCTATATCTAATACATTCAATTACAAAGTGACCAGAATCAAGAAAACCAACAGGAACACAAACTAGAAATAAAGACCTTATAACATCAAAATGTTGTTATTTAATTAAACACTCAATGTTTCACTTTTCAGCTTCTTCAGGAGTGTTCACTAAAGGACAAACAGAAACTGACAGTACAAAGCTTCAAATGGTTTAAATAACAAATTATATTTGAATCTATAGCGTGCATTTGTACAGAGTACTTTTGACATATCTATATAAATATAATAGTACTGTCAATTGTCTGTTGTATGTTCATGTTACTACTTTGCAGGGTGTGAATGACTCAGGGTGAATTGGAATGTTGGAGTGTATGGAATTCACCCTAAGTCATTTAAATGATAAGAAGAACAGATTTTCTTGATGTTACCTTAAGGATCGACAATGACAATAATATACAATCTATCTTGTTTCACAAACCAATAAGACAATGTCTCTTCCTTAACTTCAACTCCCATCATCCGAAAGCTTCCAAGAAAGGTGCAATTACTAGAGAATTAAACAGAATTGATTGCAACTGTAATGAAAAAAACAATACATGCTCTGAACTAAAATCACTTCTTGTGAGCAACCAAAATCCACCTTTTACATCGAACAAATTTTCAAGGACTATGATGCGCAAAAATTAGCACTACATTTCCAACATGAGAAAACACAGATAAACAAGGAGAAAAAAACCGATTTTCCAAAGATAACACTTCTAATTGACAATGCTATCTCAAAAAAAAAAAAATAATAATAATAATCAGGAAATCTGAACTGGCGATCAGTTATACAACGGCCAGGTCCAACCCTAAAAACCAACTTTCAAAACCTCATTACACTGCCCTACAATGTAATAAAACTGTCTTACAAAAATGTGTTTACAATCTAAAGATAAGTGTCTTGGCTCCAATGTTGTTTACCAGCTTACATGTAACATTTGCCATTGTATGTAGATAGAAGAAACTGAAAGAACTCTACACACAAATATAGCAGAACATATTGATGCTCTTTATAAACAACAACATGAAAGAAGTGCAGCTGCAGATCATTCTTTAACTAATCACGGACAAGTAACACCTGACTTCTAACCACCATTCTCCATACAAATCCTCACCGAAGCCACCAAGTACACTGACAGAAAATTCAAACAAGCTCTTCTCATCGAAAAGCAACGACTACAAATGAATATGGACAAAGGATGGTGATATATAATTTTAATTATTTTATCGTTTTTAATTTATTTTTTAACTTATCTGTTTGTTATTTCACTCTGTAACCTTGATAGGACTTTTGTTTACCACAGGTAACAGTTAATTATTTCAACAATATTTTTCTTTCAACAATAAGCTTTACTACGTAATATGTCAAAAGCATGCTGTACAAATACACGTTATAGATTCGAATAGCATTTATTATCTAAACCATTTGAAGCTTTGTACTGTCAGTTTTGGTTTTTGTTATAGTGAACGTTCCTGAAGAAGCTGTAAAGTGAAACGTTAAGTGTCTAATTAAATAAAAACAACATTTTGGTGTTATAAGGTCATTTATTTCTGTTATTAAAATGTCTTCTATACACCAATATGCACTACATAAATTAAATAATGAAAACAAACTGTACTCTTGCCATCAACAACTTACAGTAACAACTACTATCCACATTTAATCTTAAAAATATGAAAACGTTATTTTACTTCTATGATTCTAACTTCATTAATAAAGAGATTAAAAATGCTCTGGTAAATCATTAAACAACTGGGTATTTCCTTCTTTTAGTTATAGTGTGTACCTGGTATCTTAAAGACAGCTTAAAAATTCTATTGTTTTAACATTTAAAGGAATGTTATCATTTTTTATTCACACATTTTTTTTATAACTTATAAAATGTTCGGTTTTGTACTGTAATTTCTCTCAGTATATAGTCATTGTCTTGGGAGCCTGACTTTTCTATTGTCTTCAACTCATACATAATTTATATTTTATAAAGTTCAACCTCAAAAATTAAGTGCTTAAATATAGTTACACTAAAAACATCTTAATAAATGAATTATTCATTAAATGATAAAGTGAAAGGTTTGAAGAAACCTGTATCAAGTTGGAATTATTGTCTCTCTGTTAAATGGTGTTTATAAAAGGCTCATGGTCACCCTTCTCAGACAGTCCTGAGAAACTGTATACTTTCAAATATATTTTTAAAATACTATCCCTTTTTAAAAGGTCATTTTCACTTATATTCTCATGACTAAGGCTTTCAAGTATTAAAACATTTTTTTGCAAATATCATTTTTTAATAGCTGTACTTCTAATAATTATTTTGTTTTAATATTGGTATTTCATTTAGGTTGGTTGTTGTTAAGGAATATTTCCACACACACACACGTGGTCTGTTGTTAGTAGCAGTTTCCAGCTCAAAATACATTATAAGGAATACAGTAATTTTACCAACGTAATCAGTTTTTTAACTGATCCCTAGTCAGTTTCAAGAAGAATTTTTATGTAGGAAATCCAGTGATGCATTTTTTTTTCTCACAGCTGAACAACTGTTTAAAAATAGTCTTTTAACAATATCGTGTCTTCAATATTTTTCCCTATTTATTTGTGTGAAAGAAATAGAAAAATCACCACTTATAATATAGGATATACAAGTAGCAGTAGTCAATAAAAGACAACACTAACTCAAGCTAGTCTGTGCATTTCCAGCAGGAACACCAAAAATATTCTTCCCCACATTTTCTGAACTTGGTTTGCCTCCCAGACCTGTAAAGAAACCTGACTGAGCAAAGAGACCCCCAGATGATGATGATGATGGAGTTGCAGGCTGCCCAAAAGGAGAAGTGCTGAAAAAAAAGGGGGGGAGTAAATACATTTGAGTTTAACACACCTAAAGTTTCTCAATATAAAAAATGTAATTAAAACCTAACACTAAAAACTACTTACATCAAGTTACAATATAAGAATATTTACACAACTAGTTACACTGAAGTTTGATGATAAAAGAACACTTACAAATGATTCAAATACATTTAAATAATAAGACAACTAACAGAAATGTCAAGTTATAAGTATTATAACTTATAAATAGAATATTTGCAGACCTATATAAGCACATTTACTTACTCAAAGGATAAGAATACTGAAAAGTAATTAAAGTGAGAAAAGTATTTACAAAAAAGTTGAGAGATAACCCTTAGATATATTAAAAACTAAATTACTTGTTTAAATAACAGCAAGTTAAGAAATTTTAATTGCTTGAAACTAGGAAAGCTCACTAAAAGTTGATGTTAATGGAGCTTAACAGTATTGTGTTAAGTTCAGTGATTGGCTTCTTACACAATAATGTTTTGTTTTTATAAAGTTTACATGAATCATTTTGTTAAATGATCTTCAGATATTTGATACTGATTGAAGACTATGTTACATTTCTTTGGAAAAGCTTTATCTGTTTATATACATGTAATAAAAAGATATTTTAGTTTTCATTCTAATTATATTGCTCATACTCTTTCTTGGTTGTTTAGTTTTCTTAAAACTGCTGTGTAACGATCCAGTAAAAGACCACAAAATACTCATTTTAACTAACTTACAACTGTATTTTTATTGTTTCTACACACTCTATGATGCCTATTAAAAAACACCTTGCTTAACAGTGAACATATACACAATGTTAGTGGCTGACCTTTATGAATCTTTATTAAATTAGTTTCAACTGCAATCACTAAGTCCTAATTATATTATTGTCACTAAGATAAATAACTAATTCTATTCCCTGGTGAGCCACGATGTATTGTGTTGCCAGTTTGTTGTGTTTACATACTGAATGACTGATTACTTTTTATTTGCAAGCTTTCTAAGAAAGTTTATCCTAACAAATTGATTTTATCTGAAAACTTATATAAACAAAAGCCAGTGGAGACTATTGTATTTGAAGGAGTGAAATCAGAAAATATGGCTTGGTTGCACCCTGTATTTGGACAGTTTCTGTACATTAGTATCCCATTATTCTTAAATTTGTGTGTTATCTTACTAAATGATAAACAAGGAATGTTAATAGCACTGTATTTAGTTAGTTATGTTTGTGAAGTTGTTCAAGATAATCTTAACACTAACAGTGAATACTGATGGAGGGTTAACATGATATTTAAGTCACAAATTTGATAATTTTTCTATGCTACTGTTAGAATTTCCAAGGCTAGTACAGTACGTGTCACTTGCAGTGTAGTAAGTAGAATCTATAGTATACCTTTAAAAAATGTGGCACAAGTATAGAATAAGAAATCGTATTTATTTAATTGAAGTATTAGTCATCATACTTTATTGGATGATTTCTGTCTCCTGTCAACCATGTTTGAGAGAAAAGGAAGTTTCCCAGCACTTCAGATTTACTGATGACAATGTGGTTGCCAATCAGTGATGAACAGTGATGCCTCGCTTATTCAAGTACACTCAACAGCACAAGCTCTTTGGAAGAGCCACAGTGTTAGGCAGAAAATTAATTTCTGTTTATTCCACTGAACATTTTTATGCAAATATTTAATAGAACACACCAGCTATCTATCAATGCTTTTTTTAAATGGTTTATAACTGGTACGAGTTGGCTAAAATTATGAAAATATGTTTAAAAATATAATAATTTCAAATTTTACAGTTAACACACTCGCCTTAATTTGAACACTTTTAAGACTTAAACAGAGCATATCAATTTCAAAGCTTTTGAAGGCCTCCAGTTCAAAACTGAAAAGAAGGTTGTTTTTTCTATGTTTTTTAAGGCTCTGTGTGAACCCAGTTGAAGGACTTCCCTTTGTCACCACCACATTTCATTTGGTCAATATAATGGCCAGTTAATCTCAAAAGTCATCCATTTAATTGTTTTTACCTAAAAAAGCAAATGTTGTTGGAAATTTAAGATCTCATGGAATAGAATGTTTTCTCATATCATGATATACCTTGACAGTCCTCAAACAGTTCATGCTATAGGTTTCACACAGCTAAATCCAATCTCAAGGCATCATTAAATAACCCTATCAAGTTTAGCAGTAAACACAAATATTTAAGATGTCTACTAGTTCAACATTACAAGTTTTGTTAGAGGTTAAAAACCAAGTGTGCAACTTAACTTACTTAGCTGTTGTGGTCTGTTGACCAAATACAAAAGATCCACTCTGACCAAAAGTTGGTTTTTGTTCAAAACCACTAAAATACAGAAAAAAAATTAGCTGGTTATAAATGATTCATATTGTTTTGAGTTGTTTAAAGATTTTCTGAAAGTGTTTATACAAAAGTTTACATGAAATAGAATAAAAATAAAGTAAGATCACATACTGAATGATTTCACCTCACAAATAAAAAAACTCAAAGAGTAAATATATTTTAATGCCATTTTATTTAAAAATATAAGTAAGATGTTTTCATAGCATACATATTGTTATTATATTATGATACAGAACTGTTAGTGAGCTTAAGAGGAACATTTTGAAGTGTAAAGGAAAACAAAAATATTAGATTCCTACCTCCAAAAGATCAGTGAAGCAACAAACTTAATAATTCTAAATTTTAAATTTACACCAAGCAAAGTGCTATTGTTAAAGTGTTTGTAAAATATTCAATGCCATACTTTCTAACTGGTTTAATAAATCTTTATGAAGTAACAAGTGCAAACATTGAACATAATATTCTACAATTTCTCTTGCTTTTGATTCATCTAATATAACCATCTGGTTTTAAATTATCAAAATTAGAAATTCCAATTCAATGTCTACCTTGTTGCCTGATTAAAAGCAGTAGAGTGTTGACCAAAAAATCCACTTGGTGAATTACTGCCACTCTGGCCAAACAAGGTGTTACCACCAGAAGATACTGCAGTTTGACCAAATGATGAAGTAGTACTGTTAGTGGTCTGTACAAACGCAAAAAAACCAGACTTTGAGGCTTCCTGTCCAAACACTATATTACCAGAGCTTGAAGTTGTCTGGCCAAATGATGGACCACTAGAGCTTGAAGTTGTTAATCCAAAAGTAGGAGCAAATGTTGGGGACTGCCCAAAAATAGGCTTACCAAATAGTGATGATCCAGTAGTGACTGTTGACTGTAAAGTTGAGGCTGTTGTTGTACTTGAAGAAACATTACTTTCACTCAAAGTTAAAACAGATGGCACTGTTGTTAGTGATACAGCAGAAACAGCTGAATTAGCAAAAGTCGTAGAGACACTGCTGCTAGTATCACTAGCTGAAGGGGAACTAGTTAAAACTGTTATTATACTTTGAACATTACCAATGTCAGATTTTGTAACTCCAGCATCTTGACAAACAGCTGGTTTTTCTGCATTACGTACATCTTCTGTGCCACTTCCAAAAACAGGCTTTGAAATCGTTACTGGTGGTACAGCTGTACTTCCAAGGAAAGGCTTGGAAATGGATGTTGCAGGAGAAGTTGTAGTTCCAAAAACAGGTTTGGAGTCTGATGTTAAAGTAAGAGAAGTCTACAAAAAGAATCAAGTTAATAATTAGCACTCCTTTTTTTTTTCTGTTATTAAGCATGAAAATGACAATTGGCAGGATTGATATTCAAAAAGATATTATACTAAAAATAAAAATACAATAACAGTATTATTTTGAGAACAACAAAAAGCTAGCCATATAAACTCCAAATATGTTATGCTATTAAATTCTGTGATATGCTAGATTTGCAAGAATCAAATAATTTTCAAAAAAATATGTATTTAGATACAGATATATCAAACTTTATATTCACAATTATTTTGGATATCAAAAACATTCAAAGTGAGGTATTAGTTTGTATCTTTTGCACATACATATTGGGATGAAAGGAGTTTTCTCAAGAATAATCAAAAATTTTAAGTATTTTTTTAACAAACTTAGTGCACTATTTTTTACAATTTTAAAAACTTAAAATATAATTTGCTTAATACAAAAGTAAAGATAAACAGTATGTTGTTATCAACTGAAACCATTCTTAAACTATGATGGAAATTTTGAGTGAGATAATTTTTCTCTAATGACAGAGTTCATTAAACAAAAAATCAATATCTTATTAATGGTGAATGCTTTCTAACACACACACACACACACACAAAACAACAAACAAAAAAGAAACAAACAGTAATCAATATGTTGAGACTGGTTTTACATTACTTCCAGAGAGCAATACCAATTTATATTTTATGGTAGCCAGTGAGTAAATACATATTGAAAGCCAGATGTTTTATTGTTAAGAAATACTGGAAATACCAGATATTTATGGAAAACTTATAATAAAGTTATAGAAAGTTCACCTCAAAAATAAAAATCAGAATAAAGTAATTTTACAATAAATTTTCCTCTTGACATAAAGCAGGAATTTACAAAAAGTATTAATCAAATTACAGCTTTTGCATTAAAACATCCTAATGTTGGAAAATTTATTTCTTTTTTTGCTTCTATTTATGTTGACCTGAAATGATATTTGTAATTTTGTTCATTTATACACTACACAGGATAAGAAAACCTCCATGAAAGTGACCATAAAATTTCACTTTCATTTTTTAAATTTTTTACACTCAAAAATCTGAAAGTATGGGATTCGTTTTGAACTATTAGTATTATTAATAGTTGAGGAAATATGATGAAAAAAATCATTAAAATGTCATTCAATACTGATACACTCATTGCTATAATAATTTTACAACTTTATTTTATAAAGCAATCAAAATAAAAAAGCATACCTCTGCTATGCTTTCTGCCTGTGTTTTGGGCAAACTAAATGAGAAAGCAGATGTCTCTGAAACTGAAGCACTTTTCACACCACTGACATTAGATGGTAGTATGGATTTGAAAGCACTACCAGCTGAGGCAGTAGTGGTTGACAGGAAAGAAGGAATGGTTGCTTTGGAAGAAACGGATATGTCAGGCTTGTCTGATTTCCCAAAACTGACCTCAATAACTTTGATATCTGTTTCTGAAATGAAGAAAACTAAATGGTTAAATGCTCATAACACAATGATAACTTGGTGTTAAATACCACTGGCATGAATCTCTTCATTATCACCAGTAATTAGTTCCATTTAAGAATGACTGGTTTGCTTATAAAATCTATCAATATAAAGACTCGTACTACTTTCTATTATTAAATACTTCAATTGATCAACAGAATTAAACTTAAAAAACAAACAAATAAACACAACAAGTTTTAATGACATCAATAATGTTAAAACCTTTTTTACAACACCAATTATTTTAAATATCTGACTATAGTTTTGTTTCAGCTTAGAAGTTAATGAAAATTTGACTTTGGGTCATCAGAAAACCTAGTTGCTATTTTTAAACAAAATATTAATACATTTAATTAAAATAAAGAATTAGTTTTAAAAGCCATGACTTCAAGAATTTTATTGAGAAAACTACCGAAACAAACTATTGAATACAAATTTAGATATCAATATAGCTTAAACAAAAACAAATGCCAGCAACAATCTTTGTGCAATCTTACACAGCCTAAGAAACAGTTCTGCATGAGCCCAATGAATACTTAATTCTATAACAAAAGATTAAAAAATGGAAAGTTTCATGAACTAAAATTACCATTTTTATCTTTATTATTTGCTTCATTCTCCTCAACAAGAGAAGAATCTAAAATCGACTGTGGAGCTTCGGATGATTTTGTGCGACTTTCTTGATCTGAAAACAGAAGTTAAAAATCTTAGTGTAATCAGATCAATTTGGTTACATGTGAATCTAGATAAATATTTTATCCACTTAGATATGTGCAGACTTGGCCACACACACAAACTGGTTTATCATGCAAAGTCACATACCCAAGTGGGTACGTTTAAATGATAACAATGATTGTAACTACTTCTGAAAAAGAAACAAAAACACTTTATAAATATATATTACATAACAGCCTACCTGATACTGCAGTAAAAGGTTCTGGTAGTTTAAAAGTAAATGATGTTGCAGACGTGGTCATTGGTGTAGGAGCCACTATACTAGATGCTGGGATGGAAGTCAGAGTTGCAGGTTTACCAGTTGAAATGCTGCCTCCTGTAAGAGAATCTGGTAATTTGAAACTAAAGCCACTACTAGAACCAAATGAAAATGGAGAACTTGTGGTGGAGGAAGTGGTGGGGGGCATACTGAAGCGAAATACTTGTTTTGTGACTGGTGTGCTTGTATCGACTGTTTTCACAAACGAAGGTATTTGTTCTTTGTTCTGGAGACATTGGGTGGGCTTATCACTCATGGTAGTCACAGGTTCAGAAGTATTTACAGATTTCAGAGTAATAACAGGCTGGGTTTTAACACCAACAGAACCAAAACTGAAACCTAGGAGAAAGGATGGATTGTATAATAGAAATCATTTATAAAATGTTTGGTCAACTGTTTATAAAAATGATCAGGTTCATTAACATGCAAGAGTTAATTTTTTAAAACAAGAATAAATTTAAACAGAAGATTTATCAAGTTTCAGTTTTTTTATCAGTCATATAAAAATGTTTATAAATAAACATCAAGTTGTATATCCAAACAGACTAAATTAAATGCTACTTTTAATGGAGTGCTTTAAAAGGTTTGTCGAGTCTACTCATGCAGTTCTCCAAGAGTTAAAGGTATATGATATCCACCAGATTTAGCTTATCACAAACTGACTGTGCAACAAACACAGTCATTATACCTAAATGGCTGTTCTGGTAAGTATCTCCATGTCTAAATATTGCTGATATTAAATTATATTTCTGTTTCAGCAATTTCATGTAAAAGGTTTCCACTAAACACCCACCGAGTGGTTGTCCTGCAGTTGCAATATTCAAAGGTTTGGACACAGTTGAATCAACATGTTCTCTACTAGTTGCAAGAGTTCCTGTCACTGAAAAACTTGCTGGAACAGAAACAGAAGATTCTGCTTCTGACTTCATGGAAGATACTTCCAAGAAACCCTTACTTGTCTAAAAAATGAAGAAGTTGTAATTAACATTCAAATCCAATAAACTTAAACTGAAGTACATTTACTGTAATATATGTTTTCAAAGTGAACAAATCTATACAATAACAGCTCTGAATAAAGCACAAGATTTTGGAACATTCACGTTATGAGAAAACAAATAGAATTTTATGATAAAATTAAACACTTTCTTGACCAGGTCATAATGGTTACCTATGTGTTTTTTATGCCATAAATGCTACTTTTACATACAAATATCAGGTATACTATAATGGCATATTTTTAAAGGAGATATGGTGGTGTTACATTGAAAAGTTGGTTCAGGTACTGCTGGAAAAAACTTTTCTCGAACAATTCAATCACATTGAAATTTGAACTAGAAAAGCACAAAACAAAAGTATACTCTATAATTTATATATGTATTTTTGTTACTTTTTACAGGTACTGCAATTTTTAACATTTGTTTTTCTCTTCCATTATCTCTACTTTTACAAGATTTTCACTTTTTCTTTGAGTTTTTTGTGTGATGATTTTAACTTGAAGGTTCTTCCTTAGTAACCCAGTAAGAAATGTACTTTGAAAGATTACATAAAAAAAACTTTTTAAGAGGTTTTTTGTTTAAGTTGAATGAAATCTACAATAAAAAAATTCACCACTTAAGGCACAAATTAGAACTGAAAACTATTAAGTCAATATTATGATGAGGAAAGACTCCTGTTTATTTATCGTGCAATGAATTTCAGATTAATATTAATTTCCTCTAAACTTTCTTCAGGATGTAAGTTTAGTCTTTTTTTTAATATTTCTTAAATAATACATCACATATGGATTATGACAATTATAAAACTGTTATGAGCGTAAGAGAAATATTAGATTTACTGCTAAGCTAAATCATGTCTTTTTAGCATACTTTGTCATAAATATTTTATATATATAAAATCACATTTGAACTCCAAATATATTTCCCAACTGAAAAAGCCTTGCCTTACTAATGCTATTAACATAAATTTTACAGAGAGATCACATACTGTAGGCACGGGGCTGGCTTTTATTGCTGGAGGAGCTATTTGAATGGACTGCATGTTTGTAGTTGGTTGAGCTGGTGCTCGAACTTCTATACCAACAGTACTAGGTGGAGTAGGTCTGGTTACTTGAGGTCTGACTGGTGTTAAAACCTGGTTGTTAAGAGAAGAAGAAAGACATACAGGTGCTGCTGTTGGTTCCTTCAAAGTGGAAATGGTTCTGATGGCTGAAATGTCTGGTTGTACTTGTGATTGTATCGTAATAGCTACTGGCATTGAAGGAATATCTGGTTCTTTCTGAGTAGGTTGTGTTCTTGTTGCTAATACTAGTTGTGAAGTAGAAGTAGGCTCTGTGCAACTTGGAAGAGGTTTGGTTGGAGATACTGCTGTTGCCGATTCTTGTTCTGGTAATGAAGATTTTGTTGTTGATGTTGGTGACTGAAGAAAAAATAATATTTAAAAATAGTTTTTCCAAGAATAACAAGTCAAGATATATTCTGGAATACATACAAATAATTAGAAATTACTACGTACCAATTATATAAACGGAAATGAATATTATAAAAATAAATATATACTTGTAGATTTAAATAAGTATTCACAATATATATGTTTTGTGAGCATAAACATGTAATGTTTATTGATGGTAATACAAAGGGTTGAGTATGTTAACTTAAAATGATTTTGAATAGGAAAATCATTGAGTCGTGTGACAATCACAAATGATATAAAGTCATATTGAAACAGAATGCATCAAAACTACATTTTGACATTGTTTTGAATTTCTTAGGTAGTAGAATATCACTGAAAAATTATCACTTTTGGACAACACATTAAACAGCCCTTTTTCCTGCAAAATGTTCATATACTCAGATTATAAGGACGTGTTCAGATTGGGAATTTATAATTTCAAAGAGAGGGATATCCCTTGTAGTTAATGATACTGGACAACAAAGGAATATGTATGGGCACCAGAGCTATCTGGAAAGAGAACTGCAACAAGATGTATCCAAGCCCTTGTAAGCAAAGTATAATGCTATGTAACAAGTGAGAATCTACAAAAATAAAAGACAGTGGAAAATGCATCTGAATGTGCCAGGCAAACAGTATGCAACATAATCAAAATGGATCTCATCTGGAAAAAGACACACAAGTTGCATCCATGACATACGTGTTCAATTGCTAAGTGCCTCGAAAAGCTAGAAAATGAGATGGGTATTCATGCTATCCATTCCATATGAAGACATACCTTCAAGTTGTCTGAAGCTATGCCTCTGAATTTCTTTATTATGGGACATAGATTAAATAAAGCAGCAGGGAAACTACAATGCAGAGCTATTGTCAAGATGCACAGTAATCAGACAGAGTATGACTGGATATGACAACATGTACTGTAACAATATGGTGAGGTTCCAAAATCATTTTAATATAATGTACACAACCTCAGTAGTCAAAAAAGGAAATGTTTTAACATACCTCTAATTTGGTAGATTCAGATACAGTTTTCCTCTCTTCTTTCTTTAATAATGCAAGCTTGGATATTAATCGAGATTCTGCAAAGTCTTCTGGAATTTAAGTCAATAAAAGGTGAAATACCATATATGTAAAAACTTCCATTTAGATGTATCACAGAAAAGCAGCATCACATCACGAGTACAAAGTATTCTTCATGTCAAATAAAAACATGTAACTGTTTACTGGTGCATAAACACAAACACTTTTTTAACATATTTTCTCAGAACTTTAATAAACTATCAGAAAAGAGTAATTACAATGTCTACAAAAATTACAGAACTTGTAACACCATTATGTCTTTATGTCATAAACTGGATAAAAACTTACAATATCATAACTAATTCATGTACATGGACTACATGTTCAGCATACACCTAAAAAATCTTCAACAGCCAAGATAATTTCTTTGAAGGATTATGCTAATGGTATCTATTTTAAAGGCACCCTTTCAATGTTATTGTGAGGCTCCCATTCGCTAGCATTATTATAAATACAATAAAACCTACACACACACAGATATGTAAAGTATGACAAAGGAGGGAAAATATTATAAAAATATTAACATGAAATTTATATATAAAAGAAATATATAAAACATATATATTGAAAAAGAAACTTCGACAAATATCTATAAAAATCATATTAATCTGAAATTATATTAATATAAAGAGAAGTAGGTATAAAAACTTTTTTTTTAAGTCTAGTATTTAATAGTTACTTAACAATTAAATTTTTAATACCTACAAGACAAAGACTTACAAATATTGTGGATTATAAGTAGAGCTCACTGAGTTAATGGATACATAATCAATAACTTATGAGCAGTGATTACATTGATTAGTGTTGTATAAACTAAAATGGTTAATTGAAATTATGATTAAATTTATTAATGTCATGAAAGTATTCATAAAATCAAAACTAAAGAGTTTCTGATTATTATTGTTTTCAGTTATCTTAATATCCAAGGAATCAGAAAATTTTAATTATATTTATTTGTTAAGCACAGAGCTATATAATGAGGTGGGGTGCATCTTGTCATTTCAACATCTTGGGTTTGGCTCCTATTGCCATTAAATTTGTTTGCCCCGTCTTTCTTATTGAAAAACTAATAAAGCCTATTTTGTTTATTTGCTTTGCTCTGTCAAAGAGCACTGATGATCTGTTAATTCAATGAAACTAGGCTGCTGCAGTGGAAGTAGTGACTCAAAGAAATTCCCAAATAAATAAACAACTAGTTATTCTACTGCAATTAATGGATAATTAATTGTGATGGTATATCACATTATCCAAAAACCTAAATTATGTTTGGTTATTAGTGACAAGTAAAGGCCTATACATTAAAACCAAACAAACTAATGTTAAACACTGTTGTTACTTATTAACATAATAATACTATATTACCCAGATTTTCTAGTTTTATTCTTATTCATTTCCTAATAGTTTTCAAACTTTGTACAATAAAGTTATAACTATTAAAACTTTTATTCACTAATGAGCTGTTTAATTATCACTTCAATGTAATCATCATGCATTTTAAATAACAATATTACCATTATTGGTGACAGTAAAACATGTTTTCATTATTTATTAATCAATTTATTAGATTTAGAGAAGATCAGTGGGGGATTACTATATATATTTTAAAAACAAGGATAATGGGAAACACATGGTGGTATTTATTTGACTTTAGCAACTTATTTGTCAAGTAGGAAATGTTCAGGTTACCTTTAGAAAAAAGTTGTGGGGAAATGTTTTCTCTAGAAAAAAGATCATTTTTTTGCACAATGTGCATATGGTAACCTTTAGAAGAGGTATATGAAATTAAGGGTAATTCAAAAATTATTCAGAAAACAACAAAAAACAAGGTTATAATGAAAACAGAAAGATTGAAATCATGTCAAAACAATGCAGTGGTTGAAAAATGTTATGAAAGTAGTGCACACATCCCTTTTTTCTTGTTTGTATGGGTGGGAGTGTTTGAAGTTGGCCAAGGATTGAGAAATTACATTCTCACATACATGAGAAATTCAACTTTGCTTGAGGAATTTCATCTTTTTAGTTAGATATCCAAAATGGGAATGCATGGTCCATCCATATTCCTTTAGTTATGACCAATAAAAGTGAACATATTGCATTGATTAAATCAAAAACAATTCATGAGGAAATGCAACTTCACATGACAGAATGTAATTTTATTTCATTATTTCTATCCCTGTAGGCACAAAATAATCGATTAGCAAATACCACTAATTGCTCAGCTCTAATTATAACAAATGTCAATAAAATATTTACTAAACAAAGTGTTCTTAGTAAGACTATTATTTACACAGATATCCATCTATAACAATGGAAGCTTACTTAATGGAGTGGTACGAACTGAAGTTACTTGTCTCTGGCTCAAAACTTCTCGTAACATAGCTTGCTTCTGGGGAGACAAACATTTCACTGTTGGCTGGGTTATGTTCTGTTTGTCTGAAGAGTCCTCATCATTCAGCTTTGTTACCAGAAATGCATCAGCTAAAGCTGACAACTCATCATTTCCACTGATAATAAAATACATAATCTAAATTACAAACAACAAAAACTAATACATTTAGGGTATGTAATCAATTATATTCAAAAATATATTATAAATATACATGTTTTTTACAGGGAAATTTTAGTCAAATGTTTGCAATATAAATGTAATCTTTATTTAATTTCTTTTTTTTTCCTACAATAGAATATATTAATTCCAGATTTTGATAATAAAACTTGCTTACATTTCTAGATTAAAAGTTGCAGTTAAAACTGTAGCAAAAAAAGGATTGTTTTAAAGTAATAACTGAATGTAAGGTCTTCTATAATAGGGAAAACCTAGGAAATTCCTGAAAAATGACTATTCTTATATGGAAAGGGGGGAAACTGAACTTAAATAATAAATTCACTTGCTCAGAAATCATATAAATCTGACCAACTTTACAACAATGCGAATATAGTCTTTTTGAGATCTACATAATTATAATAGTAGAAACACAATGAAAGAAGTTACAAGAGGAAAAAAGTGGTTGCCCAAGTAAAAGCATCTACTGTAATGAATACTAATTAACAAAACACCAATTATCTCACATCTGTATATTGTTATCTATCTATATAGTTGTAAGTATGAGAAAAAATTATAGCAACTATGTTCATAAGTGAGAAACAAAAAGCACTGTCAGTCTATTGATATGGCTTGCTCACATTAGCAATGCATGATATGTTAGTAGGTAATAGGTGTGATATGACATCATTATATTAAAACTGATACTAATTTATATATTTTTTTTTGTTACTGGCCCTATGTGAATTATAGCATTTCTGCTAGACTTTGTTTTATGCATCTCCTGGTGAGGACTTTCATTCAAACTAGAGCTAATCAGGCTGAGTGGTTCACTACATTGTCTTAATTAAACAAAATGTTATTTATGTCATCTGTTAACAAAGCACAAGTCTTGTGCTACAGCAGAATATCCCTTTAGTAGATAAACTACGTGATATTAAATTACAGCAAGATTTCTAATCATTCAAGTTACAATTCCTTACTTGTCCAATACGGATTTACAATAAGAAAAGGGTATAACAATGATGCTCTCCACTTAATATAACATAATATTTTGGGACAACATGGGACCTGTTGGTCCATCTCGGCTGTTCCATACCCTAAACTAAATTAAATATCAGAGCTCATCAGGCCAGTAGAGTTACAACATGCAAGGTGTGAATGGAGGAAATGCTTTTTATATTAACCACTAACAAAACCTTGTCTTTCATCTTTTCAAATATATATACTAAACAGATACAGTTAATAATCTATCACTTGAAAACAAGTAATGATCTCAGCCAGGCCTTTATTTTACTTTTGACGTTAACCCTTTCACTATGGGCTCGTAACCATTGTGTGTTTGTTAATGTATTCATACTATAACTTTTAATACAATGTACATATCTAAATGAAATTTGGCAGATTACAATTAAACATAACAAGACTTCAGTACACAAAAAATAAGATTCTTTAATTAAAAACTGCTTGTGCATTATTTTTCTTTTTGAATGTTGACTATCCCACATGCAAAACAATTTTTATTTTAAGATTACAAATACCTTTATGCATTAAAAAATTGTCAAATTTCATTTTTGAAATCTTTATAACCTCCAAATAAAATCTATATAAATACTGGAAAAACTTTATATTTTATTTGTTAAATTCTCTATCTTATCTCTATACAGGTTTGGTCGAATTGACCGACCTTGTAACCCCCATATAAAATTAGGAAATATGATTTAAGTTATGCTTTTTTCATTTTAGAATGACTACAAATTGTAACATAAAACCACAAATATTTATTCTAAATAGCTTAAATCTTGTAACATTATATGTCTATTTATATTTATTATTTTTATTGACCTCTCAGTTGTGTCCAACTAACATTACAGTAGTTGCAATCATGGTGCACGTGCATCTCATGTTACCGTATCTAGTACCATAATAATGGGCATTTATGAAGTGATCTGTCTTGGATTTGTTCTAGTGGACCAGTACTTTGTAAAGTAGTCACATTTTAGTTATAATACATTATATATATATATATTATTATTACTATTTACAAATAAACTCTTAAGTTTCAGTTACTCTTCTTAAAACATTGAACAGTAAATAAAGAAATATAGAAAACAATTATCTCTACTAGTTATGATTGTAAACAAGTTGGTTACTGCTTGCCATACCTTGGTCATGGGTCAAAGGCCATGTCACTGCATTTATAGACTAAAATTCAAAATTTTATTGAACTACTATTTTATAAATGTATGTCAATCAGTTTGGTATCAAACTGTAGGTTAGTATTCAAATGTTTGTATTATACATTAGTTCATTTCTTAATTTAAAAGTAAATATTAAAAAAAAAATCATAAATATAGATTATTGTGTGTCATGTGGTATGTTGAATGCTGCATTGGTTCAAATTAGATGTCTGTGATGTCCAAATACAAAATCTATAGTTTGTTATGAATTAGATCAGTGGTCGGCAACCTATGACCCGCGGCAATAATTTGGCTGAC